CAGGGTTCTTGCCACCATTTGTTGGGAGACATGATTAATCAGAGATGAGCACTGAAGAAGAGGGGGGATTCTGTGCATGGGAAGTCTGATCTGGGCCATCTCAAGAAGACCTGGGCTTCTGTACCTCAGTGTTTTGTTAGTATGAAGTCCTTCTTACAAGGGGGCTTGGATATTGGCAGAAGGTGTACACTATCCACATTCAGGAACAATGCAGTTTGGAAACCCTATTCTACTTCCCTTAGTCCCCTGTAGAAAAGCAGTTAAACCTCAGATGCAATGAAGCTCTGTCTGAGTTTCCTTATGCTCTGGTAAACCCACTGGTACCTCTTAAATCCGTTCTGTGTGGTTTAATCCCACCTACCCAAATTATTCTCAATTAGGAACCTTGATGAATTTCTCCTAAATGACTATGAAGAGACTTCCTCTGGGTTAGAAAAGAGAAACTCTGAGTAGAGCTTCTCAGAGGGAAGTCAGGGCTTCTTGTTGATGGATCAGCCTTGAGGAGTAGGGGGAGAGGCAGCTGGCAGGCCTGGACAGGTGTCCTGGCTCTCCAGCATGCACTTCACCCACTGCCAATGGGGTTTGCTCATTTGCTTTTCACATTTCCTTGAACTTCAAACACCTTTTGGATGAGGCAAGGTCCCATGGAACTTGGAGACACCAGACTGGAGAGGGCACAGGGACACTGAAAGACATAGCAGCTGGTTAGGAGCCCTTCTCTCCAGCCTGGGGCTCTGTTGAGCATGGGAAGCTGGGCGCTGACCCCTGGGAGCCCTGCAACCAGGTAGCAAAGACAGGAAGGCAAGAGATGTGTGGCCACGTCTCTGCTCTGTCACTTGTGTGCTGGAGCCTCACCTGCCTCATCAGGGAAAGTGCTTAATAACACATTTGGGCTGCCTGCTTCAAAGAGGATTTGTATAGAAGCCCAGATGAGTCAGCAAATGACCTTTACAAAGACTGTCAATCAAATACAGATAAATTAGTGTGAGCCAAGATGATGGTGGTGGTGATGACTTCAACTTCCAGCCTGGCATGAGGGACAAAATGCACCAGCAAAACATACACACAAAACCCCTGGAGAGATGAAAGCTGGCAGCTCTGGCTCTACCAGTTCAGTCCAGATGCAGAGCTCTGGTGTCAGAACTGCCAATTTGAGCAGGGAATGTGCTCCCAGTTCCCCTTCTCCTTCTCCTAGAGGCACCAAAATTCTTAAGTTTGGAATAGAGTAAAGAAAACTCCTCCAGGAGAAAGTTTTGAAGGCCCAAACCTATTAATTTTATTAAGAATGTCATTCATTCATTATAACATTTCACAATTCTTCAACGTATAGGAGATGATTCCACAACTACTATATCAGTAATCGTGATTTTATCCTCATTTTACAGATGAAGAAACTGAGGCTGAGATCAAGTAAATGAACTATGGTGACACGGCTAGTAAGTTGCAGCAATTTACACTGGGGGTTTCAGACTTCAAGATCTGTGTTCCTAAAAACCGGTGTTCAACTACAGAGCTAAAGAAAGACATGGGAGAGAGGAAAGAAAGGGGAAAATAGGGAGGAGAAGAGAAAGAAGAATGAGGGAGGAAGGGCTGGAGGGAACTAGGGAAAGAGGAAAGGAAAAAGAAAAGGAAGGAAAGAATGCAAAAATCATTGGAAGGAGCGGAGAGCCAGTTCATGCAATACACACCGGAAGGTAAGGCTCACGTCTGTGGGCGGACAGGTCCAGCTGCATGGTGCTCTGGTACTCGGTGGTGTCCACTGTGTCCCTGCGTAGTCACACACAGACTGCTACTGGAACCCTGCTCTTCCATGTCTGCAGGAACCCCCATCCCTCTCCGCTGTGAACCCAACTCCTACTTGAGACTTCTTGGTCGATTGCTTATGGATTCGCTGCTGGGAACCTCATCCTGCACCTGGCTGCAGTCCTGGGGGGTCCCCAGCAAGTGTTGGGGCTGTTGGGTGTGAGAGGAGGGGGAAGGGAAGAGGGTCTCCAGTCTTGGCCCTCCCACTCAGCCCTTCGAGCCTCAGGCTTTGGGGACGCTTGAGGTCTACACGGAGTTCCGGAGGACTGAAGGTCGCAATGACCAGAGAGGCAGAGGGGTCGCAGGGACCCGCATCCCTTAGCACCGCCTGCACCCGGGCACGTTCACATACAGTTGCCCAGGTAAATGAATGTGTGGTGCAAATTAAGTAGTGAAGGAATGGAGCGAGCAAAAGAGCCCAGGTTCCCGTGAGCAGAGGGGGGCACCCATGCAAGCCCTGTGGCCCTTAACGCCCAGGCTCTGATCAACTCAAGTCTGGTGCACTCTCCCCAGACGCAGTGCAAGAAATGAAACAACTGGAAACAACAATCACAACTTGTTTCTCTCTGCGCCCGCCCCCGGCTGTTTTCTCCAATTTTGCCAAAGGTCTCCGGAATCCCACTTGACCGCCCTGCGCTCCCCGGGCCGAGCCTCTTCCTAAGCTGGTGCCTGGGCGCGGCCCCCTCTGCGAGCGCGCTGGGCTCGGGAACCCGGCGGACCTGGCGTCAAGGCTGGGGGCTGGAGTGGGAACGCCCGCGGCCGGCAAGGGGGCGCTGTCCCCTAGGGGCCTCGCACTGGGACCAGGCCATGCGTGCACTGTGCTCCCGGCCCCGACGAGCTTAGAAAGGGTGGTGGCCGATTTCTTCCAGGGGTCCACGGCTGCAGCGCATATCCTCCTCCCCAGCCCCTGGATGAGATCCCTTCTCCCCTCCTTCCCCCAACGAGGTGCGCTCCCGCGGCCTGGCACAGCCCTAGCGCCCGCTCCTCCTGGAGCATCCCGGCCTAAGGCTTTTTCTTGAGGAATTTCTGGCACAGGGGTCCAACACGGGAAATGGCCTAAGCTTCCCGGGGTAGGGATGTCCGCCTCGACCGTGGACACATTCTCTCCGTACCGCCCCCCTCTTCTCCCTGTTCCCAGCTTAGTCCCTGGCGCCAGCCAGCCCTGCCGCTCCACCTCGGGTTCCAGGATGCTCTCCCGGCTGCGGGACACCCTCTTTGCAGCCAGCACGGCTCCCCTCTCCCTTTGCTGATCAGCTCTGACCTGTGAGGCTAGCGGGTGGAGCGCAAAGGCCCAGGGGCTGCTGCTGCTGGATCCTGCTGGGAAAGGAGAGGAAAATTAAGCAACCTATTTTAGGAGTAAAGTCCCTTCTAGGATGAAAATTATCATCCGGGCTCTGTAGGTTAAATTGGGAATTAAAAACAGAGAAGTTGGGCAGCCTGGGTGGCTCTGCGGTTTAGCGCTGCCTTCAGCCCAGGCCGTGATCCTGGAGACCTGGGATCGAGTCCCACGTCAGGCTCCCTCCATGGAGCCTGCTTCTCCCTCTGCCTGTGTCTCTGCACCCCCCCCCCCGTGTGTCTCTCATGAGTAAATAAACAAAATCTTAAAAAAAAAAAAAAACAGAGAAGTTGCATTACTCCATCCACCTCCCTTGGGGTCCCTGGGGTCGGTCTGGGAGCACATGTTGTATACAAGGCACCTATGAACTCAGTGCTTAGTAGGATATTGAAATTTGGTCTTAGCATTTACAATGCTTTACATCTAGAGTTATAGTAACATCAAGCATCATATAGTGTTTAATCTTTCATGTATTTTCTCACTGAATCTTCACAACAGCCCTGTGAGATCAAGTCTTATCATCGTCCTCATTTTAGGTTTAGGAAAAAAGGCCTAGGGAGATACCTGACTTCCCCAGAGTCGTTAAGTAACCAAACGCTGAAGACAGGTCCTGACTCCAGACCCCGGGGTCTTCCCATGACAATGCTCCCTCCTTCCAGGGTCACCTCTACTAAGCCCTTCAACAAGGATGGCCCTCAGTAAATATTTGTAGGTTGAATTCCAGGATCTAATCAAGCTTTTTTTGTTGTTTTGTTGTTGGTGGTTTTTTTTACAGTAGGTTGTGTCTAAGCCTTGTTCACTCAGTCACCTATTCATTTATTCGGCAGTTGCTTAGTGCCCACTGTGCGCTGGTGCTGCAGTAGGGACCAGGAGGACACGTCGCATTGTAGGGCGTGAGCTGGCTTCGGAGGCAGGGGCCTGGCATCTTGGAGAGACTGGTGAGCTCCCAGCCCTCAGCCCTCGCCGGCCCAGAGCCTGCAGCTGCTGTCCAACCCTGGGGAGTCGGGATGAGAGGAACTGGGAAGTCCTGGGGGAGCGCGGGAGGGGTGGGTCTGAGCGACTCCACTCGGAGGAGCCGGAGGAGCCCGACGGGGACGGGAGAAAATACAACCATAGGGAAGAGCTGGAGAGGTGGGAGCTGGAGACCCCTGGGCCCTCGGAGACTAGTGGAGATGAGGGTGTTAGAGGAGAGAGGTCAGGCGGCAGAGTGAATAAAGGAGAACGCAGAAGGCGGGACAGCCGTCAGCACGGCCCGGGGCGTCGAGGGAGGGCTGGGGGCTCCGGGAGCTCAGCACGCAACCCCAGGCGGGAGGAGTCCGCAGCCCTTGCCAGTGTCCGGCCGCCAAAGTGGGCTGGGGGCGAGGCTGTTGAAGCCCGGGTCATTCTGGAAAAAGTAGGAATGTTCTCTCGGGAACGGCTCACAGCCTGCTCCGGGGGGATTCCTGGTCCTCGTGCCTCGCGCCCGGCCAGGCCCCCCGAAACCTGTCTGGCTTCGGCCCTCCGCGGCGTTCCCGGCGCGGGAGGAGTTGGCGGAGTGTGGCCGCGGGAGGCCACGGCCGGTCGGGACAGGGCCCCGGAGTCCGGCTCGGCTCCGGGGCGAGGGGACTGCGGGCGGCGCCCGGCGCCCGGCTCCGCGACACCTGCGCCCGGGGCGCGCGGGCCGGGAGGCGGCGGGGCGCGGACTCCCGGGAGGGACTGGGGAGCGGGGGGCGGGCCGGGGCGGGCCGGGGCGGGCGCGGGGAAGCGCCCCCCCCCCCCGGCGGGTCGGAGAGGGGACGCGGTGGCCCGGGACGCCGGGAGTGGGCCCCGCGCCGAGACGGAGGGAGGGGCCGCGCCGCCTTCGAGAGTCATTGGAGGACGCGGCCGCCCCAAGCTGATAAATAAGGGGACGGGCCGCGGCTGCCAGCCAAGTTGGACGCCCGGGCCGCGCGAGGGCCAGGTCAGCGCCTGCCCTGGGAGCGAGGGAGGGGACCCCCGTGCGGCCATGGCCTCGCTGTTGGGAGCTTACCCGTGGCCCGAGGGGCTCGAGTGCCCGGCCCTGGAAGCCGAGCTGTCGGACGGGCTGTCGCCGCCCGCCGCCCCCCGCCAGCCGGGGGACAAGGGCTCGGAGAGCCGCATCCGGCGGCCCATGAACGCCTTCATGGTGTGGGCCAAGGACGAGAGGAAACGTCTGGCGGTGCAGAACCCGGACCTGCACAACGCCGAGCTCAGCAAGATGCTGGGTGAGTAAGGCGGCGGGCGGGCCGGGCGCCCCGGGAGGTCGGCGGGCCAGGGCTCGGGGCAGAGGCGGGGCCCCCACCCCCATCCCGGGGGCTCGCGGCCGGGGCCCGGCCTGTGGGTACGCTCGGGGGGGGCGCGCGGGGCGCTCCTGTGCCGGCGGGGTCGGGCATCTGTGCGCGCGCGGGTGTGCGCGCAGCCACCCGGCTTCAGAGCGGGGACATCGGGCCGCGGCCCAGAGTGAAACCGCGCGGCCCGCTGGGGTGGGCCAGGAAGCCCACTAGCTGGAACGGGAGCCGAGTGTGGGGTCCCCGGGGACAGGCGGGGCCGACGGCCGCCAGGTCCCCGTCGCCCTGGCGACCCGGACCTGCGCGCACACAGGTCAGGACGGAAACGCAGAGGCCCGGTGGAACCGGTGCTTGGCAGGGATACTGAAGCGGGAAAGCCACCCTCCCCTGAACTTTACCACCGGCACAATCACAGAAGGAAGTTGTGACTATTATTAAACGAATATTCGTGAAGAGAGACCCTGCGGGAACGCATCCCTTCTTTTAATTTAATTATTAAACCTGCAGCAAAAAAAAAAAAAAAAAGTACGCAAATAGACTCCATTCGATCGTGTATTTCTCAATAGCAGGAGCATAGATTCTGTGATTGAGATGCTGAGGACGGCCAGTGAAGTCTCTCTCCTGGAGCCCGCCACTGCCCTGTTCGGTTCCAGCGGGGGCAGCGGGCCTGGGGACCGGGAGGAGCCAGACCCCAGGACGCCAGAGGAAGGATGTTAGGGCACGTTGGAAAATTCGTTGGAGTTCGGGGTTTCTTCTCTCCCACGTCTGGAGCTGAGCACTTTCAACTCCACTCTACTTCTAACCTTTTTGCCTTTCCACGGAGTTTTTATTCATTTTAAGTGGTGGGAACTTTCAAAGCATTTTGTAGTTAGGGTGGGCACCAGGCCCTGAGACAAGGGACCGTATGTGGTCACCTGAGGCTGGCCTGATCTTCCCCAACCCCACCTGCCCCGAACTGAGCTTTTTTCCTTTTCCCTCAGCGCGATACCATGGAGTGAGGGCTGTCACCCACCTTTCTGCTGGCTAAACCTATAGGCCCGCAGAAAGGGTTCCAACCCTTTCAAGGCTGCTGGTTTTAAAAGCCTCCTACCCATGGTCTAGTCCCTTGGCTAGATATGCCCAGGACACACTGGTGGATCAGTGTCTCAGGGAGCCCTTTTCTTCATAAAAAATACTAAAAATTATATTTCATACTGTATGGGCATAAAGACAAATATATTAATATATACAATATATATACTATACAGTAAGATATTTACCTAAAAGTTCATTTTTTTCCTTCAGGTTTTTAAAGAAATGAAAACACTTTTTTGTGTGTGGTGGCCCCTCAATATTTTTTTTTTTTTTTGGTGGGCCCAGGCACTGCGCCTTTTGCTCAAATACAGCTCCTGTGACCAAAACAGTGAGGTTTCCCTTGCTGTGTCAGGCCAGAGGTGGGAGAGGAGCTCAGGATGGGGAGCCTTGCAGGATTGCGGCTGTGTGCTCTCAGGGAAAGGGCAGGTGAGAGGACCTGCCCGACAAATGCCTCTAGTGAGCTGATCCCTGTTGGCAATTTGCGCTTAGGTTTCCAGAGGGTGTAGTTCATTTTGCAGGAAGATGTTGATTCCTTCCCATTTAACCACGCAGGCCCTGGCCCTGGGCAAGGAGCTTTTTAAAATATGGACTTTCTTAGGGCACCTGGGTGGCTCAGTGGTTGAGCCTCTGCTTTTGGCTCATGTCATGATCCTGGGGCCCTAGGATCAAGCTTGCTTCTCCCTCTGCCTATGTCTCTGCCTCTCTCTGTGTGTCTCTCATGAATAAATAAAATCTTCAAACAAAAAATATGGACTTTCTTAATAGGGGGCAGCAGGATGTCCCCCTTCCACCCCCATGATCTTGCCCAGCCCTTTCCTTTCTGACCTAGGCAAGAGTCCCAACTTTTTAAACTATAAGCTTTCCAATCATTAACATTAGAAACATCACCTGGAAATAAATGCATGAATAAAAAAAAATCACCTGGTATCACCACTCTTTTTAGTATACTGTGAGTGAGAAGGCACATAAGGACAGTTATACATTAATGGCATGTAAAATGACTATTTTATTCAGACTATGGCATCCACGTACACTTAGAAACTAGAGTCACATTTTATATTCAGTCCACAGACAGGGTGTGGGGTGTACCTAGATCTTGGGCCTCTTGCAACAACTTTGCAGTCTCAGCCACGGCTGGGAACTGCTGACCAACCCCAAACCCAGAGTTCCTGACACTTTTAGAGTTGCTGTTTTAAGTGATGGCTAATTATATTAATTGACAACTCTCTCACAATAGTTATAAACTTATATCCCAATGGTAGAGCGCCTCTAATAATTGCCCTCCCTCAGTGCCCTTTGAGGGCCAGGCATGCAGAGTCAGCCAGTGGGGGTACCAAGGCAGCAGTACACACAGCTCTGTACTGGGCCCTGTGCCAGCTGTTCTGGGTGGGGGTACTTAACCTCAGAGCTAGTCAGTCTCAAACTTCAGGATATGTTAGTCAGGAGGGGACTTTCAAAGTTGCAGAATCCCGAGTCCACTCAAGGAGATAACAGTGTAAGGTGTCCAGAAATGACCTTCAGAAAACCAGCAGCCAGAGGGATGTGCAATGAACGTACTGACAGATGAGACAGCGATGCTAGAGCAATTTACAAAACAGCACAAAAGGGAGTAAGGATGGATAGAAAAATGCAAGTGAACCCAGCTCTTTAGCACCAGTGGGCTACAAGTGTGGGGTGCGTCTTAAAAGAGACAGTTTTGAGTTGGATAGTATTGCAACACATTTTATAATGAAAAGAGAGACCCAGAGAAACTAAAGAATTTGCTTCTGTATGAAGAGTCAATGGCTGAGCAGTTGCCCCCTGCCACAGTCAAAGCCCACTAACTAAGGAGATAGCAGGGAGCGTTAGTTAGCATGAGTGTGTGCACCTGTGTGCATGCAAATGCAAATGTGTGCATGCACTGTGTACGCGTGTGCCTGTTCGTGTTGAAGGCAGATGCTCACATTCTCATAATGGGCTTTATATGGCAGGGTCCTAACTGAACTTGAGATGTGAGGGATAATGGTCTGTTCCCCTAAGTGAGATCCTCTAATTTACTTATATCTCTGAAAAGATTGACTGATCTTGAATTCCCTCACAAGAAGGCCTGTGGGATTTATGCCATAAAAAATACAGCTTGGCTTCCTGAGAGGCACGATAATCAGCCAAGGCAGAGGGTTTTCATTAAAAGCCACAGATGATTAGACGTGATCCACTTAGGGTTAAAAAAGAGAGAGAGAGAGAGAGAGAGAGAGAGAGAGCCTAAATCAATGTGATCGTTATATACTTTATCCTGTGTCTGACATGGGGTCTGGCGGGCCTTTTGCTGTGAATCCCGCATTGTTTATACGTTTACATCACCTGGCGGCTTTTGCAGCGGAGGTGAAGTGACCCAGTACGTGGTGGGCGTTAGTGGTCTCCCGGGGGCACGCGGGGCGAGGTTGGTTGGGCCTCGCAGAGCCGGGATCTGGGCTGGGAGCGGGGTGCGAGGAGTCCGCGGTGGGTGTCCTTGCACTGGGTTGGGGGGGGCAGGGACCCGCGGCTGGGATGGGGGACCGAGGCGGACGTGCATGTGGGATGCCGGGAGGGAGGCACGGGCTCCTGAGACAGGTGCGCCGGCCTCCCCAGGTGGCGCAGATGCTGAAATCGGCCTTCTCTGACTTGTGTGAGCAGGAAAGTCGTGGAAGGCGCTCACGCTGTCCCAGAAGAGGCCCTACGTGGACGAGGCGGAGCGGCTGCGCCTGCAGCACATGCAGGACTACCCCAACTACAAGTACCGCCCGCGCAGGAAGAAGCAGGCCAAGCGCCTCTGCAAGCGCGTGGACCCGGGCTTCCTCCTGAGCTCGCTGTCCCGGGACCAGAACGCTCTGCCCGAGAAGAGGGGCGGCGGCCGCGGGGCGCTGGGGGAGAAGGAGGACAGGGGTGAGTACTCCCCGGGCTCCGCCCTGCCCAGCCTGCGGGGCTGCTACCACGAGGGGCCGAGCGGCGGCGGCGGCGGCGGCACCCCCGGCAGCGTGGACACTTACCCATACGGGCTGCCCACGCCCCCAGAAATGTCGCCCCTGGACGTCCTGGAGCCGGAGCAGACCTTCTTCTCCTCCCCCTGCCAGGAGGAGCATGCGCACTCCCGCCGCATCCCGCACCTGCCGGGGCCCCCTTACTCACCGGAGTACGCCCCCAGCCCCCTCCACTGCGGCCACCCCCTGGGCTCCCTGGCCCTCGGGCAGTCCGCGGGCGTCTCTATGATGTCCGCCGTCCCCGCCTGCCCCCCGTCTCCTGCCTATTACTCCCCTGCCACCTACCACCCTCTCCACTCCAACCTCCACGCCCACCTTGGCCAGCTCTCCCCCCCTCCCGAACACCCCGGCTTTGATGCCCTGGATCAGCTGAGCCAGGTGGAACTGCTGGGGGACATGGATCGCAATGAGTTCGACCAGTATTTGAACACTCCTGGCCACCCGGACTCTGCCGCCGCAGGGGCTGTGGCCCTCAGTGGGCATGCCCCGGGCTCCCAGGTGACATCAACAGGCCCCACAGAGACCAGCCTCATCTCCGTGCTGGCCGATGCCACGGCCACGTACTACAACAGCTACAGCGTGTCATAGAGCCCGAGGCAACCAGCCCAGCCTTGCGTCGCCGCCGTCCTCCGCCTCCCGAGCGAGCGCGGAGCACCGAGGCCACCGCGCGGGGCTCCCCGCTCTCCTGCGACCGCCGCGGGGCGTGCAGGTCTGACCGTGCGCGGCGCAGAGCCGGGCTCTGCCGAGCTGAGCGTCTCCGCGCTCCCGGCCGCCTGCATTCTGAGTGTGAGTGCATTCCTTCAGATGGGTTCTCATTGGCTCCACACCCTGGGAATAAGGCAGGGTAGTTGCTGAAAGGTGGTTAACCGGTAGATGTTCATTCCCTTCTCCCGGTCCCCATCGCGGGAAGGAACGTGTCCAACTCTCCGCGGCATTCACACCTCTCCAGCTTCTGACCCAGACGCATGGGGTACAGCGGTCCTGATCTTGGGGTCCTCCAGGTGAGGAGAGCCCTGGGCTGGGATCCCGAGGACCCCGGATCCGGTCCTGGTTCGGCCTTGGAGGGCCGGTGCAACCCCCACCCCTCTCTCTTCCCCCTTCAGGCCCCTCCCGCAGTCTGTAAAGTGGGGGGACAGACTTGACATCTAAGGCTCCTTCTGCTCCAGGGTTTTCTGACCTAGTATTCTTTCGAGGCTAATTAAAAGGAAGACGAAGTTTGACTTAGCAAGTTCATTAACAGCCAACCCGGCGATAACTCCGAGCGCGCAGCCCAAGAACACTGGCTTTGTGCATTTGGCTGCCTTCCAGAATGATCATGGTCTTGCAAAAGGACTCTTCCAATTTGAGAAAACAAAACAAAACAAAACATTCGTCTTGATTTGGGGAATTAACCACTAAGGTTGACTGCACCATTGAAAATGGATTGAATTCAAGCCACTGGTTTTTAAACGTATTTTTTAAGATAATTTTTTTTATTACACACACATTTCAAGAGAATACACACAGCCTGAATATATACAGTCCGTGTATGTGGGATGTGCACCACACACACAACTGCATGCACATCCTTAAATGCACGTCTGTCCACCCTACATCAGATACTCTGGTTGATGTTGGCAATATTCTTAATGACCCAAAGAGCAGGGAGCCCAAAAAGGATTTCTGCACAGCAACATCACTTACCTCCAATCTGAATGTGTGGATTGCTTGAGCAAAATTTCAGCATACTCTCCCCTCTGCACGTGCAAAAGGAGCTTCTTTCTCACTGTCTCCGACTCCCCTTCTTCCTTTCCCGGGATTTCTTCTCTTCTGCACTGTTCTTCCTCCTTCCCTGAATTGGCCACAAATTCAAAGATTCCCCTGGCTTCAAAATACTAAGCATGATTCCTACTACGGCTGAGATGACAGTCCCTTCTTCTCACCAGACAGCTGGTTCTCGGTAACATCTTCAGCCAACACTTCAACTTTCCCTTCACTATACAGACTTCCCAAAGAACAGAAACGCACTGTGATTCAGAAAATGTTTCTGAGCCCTGACCCCACCCCAAAAACATTTCCATCCTTCTCTCAAACCTCCTTGGAAGGAACATACCTACCAGTGCGTGAAAAGGCAGCTGTTTTGTCTTTTAATTGCAGCATATTATTGCCTGTATGAAATATGTGTTTTATATATTCTCCTATTTTTAGCTTATATTTTATATTGTTGAGAGATCCTTTTTTTTCCTTCCAAGGTGTCCTACTATAAAATTACTTATAAGATATAATTAATCTTTATGCTATTGCTGTATATGACATTTGGTAATAAATAGTAAATCGTTGACAATATGATTGACTGGTGCAGTCCAGAATGTATATTAATAATCTTGTAAAACATCGTCACAGATATTAAGCTAAACTGTTCCACTTTTTTTTTGTAAGAACTATACATGCTTCGGAACGGTTGTAGATATTCATCTGTCTAAAATATTTAATTTAAATAAATGTTTTTGTACCATGACCATTCTATCATTTGAAATATAGTTTTGCACACAGAAAAGGTGTTCCAGGGAGGCATAGATATTATGCCCGGTTCTCCTTTATAGTACTGGTCAAAATACTTTCTACAGTAATTTTTTTTATTTTAAAAAAGTTATCTTGTAGGGTTGGCTTATTTTATGAATTGTGGTCAAGAGATTTGACACATTGGAAACAGCGTTGTTGTAAAAATCGAAAGAAAAGACCAGTTCATAATTTACCTGCAGAACAATTTTCTCCTCAGGATGACTTCACATTTATAAAGTGGAATGAGGTAATTATCAGGCACTCTCAAGATAGGACGTAAGTTCTGCCCAATTGCTTGCTTACTTAAGGCTGCCACACTTTTTCCTTTTTTGAAATAATCTAGAAAAATACCTAGCTTTCTCTCTTTACTCTGCATTTATTGATGTGGTTTAACAAGACATCGCAGGCTCTCAAAACCTGCTGGAATGCTGTGGAGAAGGTAGAGAAGCACCGGGATAGGTAATTAAAGGATGTAACATCTTGTGAGGTTTAGGATTAAAATCTCAGCCAAAAAGGGCCTGGAAAAAGCTGATGATTACTCAGTCCCCTTGCAGGTCACGGTACCTGGCTTCTCTATGTGGGGAGGCAGTTGTAACTTGTTCAAGTCAAGGGTAGCCCTGTGTCTTCCAGGCTCTCTGGGCCAAGGAGTGGGTTCTGGGAGGGCCCAAATGGGCATATGTTCATCCTTCAGTTCTGATCATAATCTATAGTCATTACTTTAATGGCACTTTATAGGTGTAGGGAGATTTATGGCCAGTTTTATGGGCTAATCCTCACTCACAATCCTAGGTGGGGCCCTGTCATCCATCCACCTCATGGTGCAGCCAGGGATACTGAGGCCCAGGTGGGAGGTGGTGCATTGTAGCTCACCCTGCTCAGTTGGTGGAGGCTGGAGTTCCAGCATTTCATCAGATACATTTGTTGGCAGCGTCAGCTGAGTTGTCTAGAGGCTTCATGACTCTTTTAGTGCTTCACCATGGCATGGAATGACACGCAGTCCAATTCAGACCTATCACAGCTTCGGGGAAAGAAAGAAAGAGAAAAGAGAAAATTAGAGGGTCAGAGTTAGATAAAACGTGAATTCATGGCCTTCCAGGCCCACTGTTGTGGCCGCCTGCAGGGTCATCAGCTGTCTGGAGGACTCATTGGGCAGCGTCTGCACAGGACATCGCCCTCGGGACTGCCAAATGGGCATATTTCTTTGCAGGACATACTGTGGGGGCAGGGACGTTGTCTGTGCCTCTGGGAGGGCAGGAAACAGGCAGGCGACAGGGCTGCTCTTTCACTTTGCTCAGCTGTGAGTGAAATTATTGTGCTCAGAAGCCAGGAGTCTCTTAGAGTTTTAGTTGCCCATTCTGAGAACCTATCTGTCCCCAGGGACAAGAGCATCTTCCGCTTTGGTGATGAGAATTGATGGGTGTGCACAGTTGTCCTTCGTTTCTCAAATGTAGATGTTACTATTTCACTCTTCCTAAAGATCCTTCAGTACCTGCTCATCACCCACAGCACCCAGGGTGAACACAGAAGTGGGGGCATGTGAATGCAATGAAGTTCCTGCTTCTGGGTTTCTCACTTATTAGCTCCGGTAATGTATTCGTATGCCCCCAGCCCCTGCCTTCCCAACTGTATGAGCTTCAAGGCCCATGGCACCTGGCTTGGCTCCATGTCAGTGCCCCGGTAGCTAATCTTTTTCCTCTTTCCAGAAGCCTTTCAGAGCATCCCGCTACCCACCATTGGGTACCTATTGCACAAAAAGCTTATTGTTCTCTGAGATAGTTTCCTTTCCCATAATTGTGTGTTTATCCCAGTGAGGGGGGAGCTCTTACTCCCAACACCTGTCTGACGACATCCCATACACTGTCCAAACCCAGCTTACATGTCCTTAACTTTGCCTGGTGGAGGGGCCAGTCACTGTCCTCCCTGAGCTCTTATGCGACTTGAGCAGACCTTGGTGACAGTGCTTACTGCTTGGCGGTGGAATCCCCCATCCATATGCATCTTCCCCAGCAGGATAGACACATAGTAGTCGCTCAAAAGTAACATGAATGAATGAATAAACATCTGAAGTATTCCAGTTAATCTTCTTGGTAAAGGCCTAAGACTTCCTGGGTCCCCATTTCCTTGCCCATCTCTCTGGACACCAACACCTGGAGCCTTTGTGTGTGTCTAATTCTCAGGGCTCTGAGGCTGGATGTGATACAACTATGGCTAGTCACTCTCACCTGCTAGATTGTAGTCTGTAGTAAACAGGTCAGGAAGGGGCACAAGCGTACTGCAGGATGATCTCTTCTACCATCCCATCCCAGAGCACCTGGATAGAGCTGGCTTTGTAATGTTTGTAACTGCTTGCTTTCCTTTTGAAAATTAGGCTCTTGATTTTCTCCCAGAGAAGGGGATTTGGAAGGAAGGGAGAGGGGAGGGGGGGAGAGAAGGAAAAAGGGAGAAAAGACACACACACTTATCTATTATCTATTATCTATCTATCTATCTATCTATCTATCCATCTATCATCTATCATCTACCTTAGTCCGTCCATCTATCTTTTTAATCTATCCATCCATCCATCCTATGCATCCATCCATATCTATCATCTATCTATCTTCTATTGATATTTAAATTCTTAAAAGAGACAGTCTTTGTGGAAAGTTTAGAGAAAAAAGATCATCTATTATTCATAACTTCAAGACATTGCTGGTAATTTTTTTTACATATGTCCATCCAGTCTTTAAAAAATCTTTTTTGTCTAACTCTATGTATGCATATGTCTTTTATAATAGACATTTTTATTCACTAATATTAAGTAAACATTTTCCTGTGCTGTAGACTTAGTTTTTCTGTAAGAGGTATTTTCTTTCCAGTTGAAATGGCAATTTGGAAAAAAGAAAAATTAGCCACTCCATGACTTTGATATAGCTATATTCAACATAGTCATTTTGGTATGCCAAACTTCTTAGTCTTGTATTTGTGTCTTCAAAATTGTACCTGGTGTGATCACAGTGTAGATATAGGTACCACTGGTATTTGGCTTTATTCTCTCAAAAGTCATAGGAAACATAGAAGTTTCACCATATTCGATTTTCCACTTTTCTTTTTTTCCACTATAAATAACACTGCAGTTAACATTTACTTGTTTATATCTCTGGTTAGTCTTCCAGCAAGGTATCACCAGATCTAGACCTAAGAACAGGTTTACAGCTTTTGCTTCAACTGCTGGTGTGTTGGGTTTCCCAAAGAGTCTCAATTGGTAGTGAAGGCACAAAATGCTTCCATTCAATTCCCAGAATGAACTAACTCTTTCTTAACAGGAAGAATTAAAACACCTGAAGACTACTTATGAGTGACTTAAATCATGCTCAATTGGCTTCACTTGTCATGGTGGCTTTGTCTTTCTGAGGACCTATTATGTGCTTGCTGCTGGTTTCCATTGGCAAGTTGTGAGTGTTCCTTTGCCTAAACACCATGGATGGCATGTCCTTCTCTGAGCATCAAGTTACTACACAGGGGAAAGGATTATTCTATCAGCAAGGCAGTTGGGTTGGTTTCTGAGTCCCTCAATACACCTCAATACACTGCTGGCTGTATTCACAGGGCACTCAGAGTTCTAAACACTCTAGGAGGGGGTCTGGAAAATGCCTGGACCTAGAGGTCTGACCTTACCGCATCACTGGATTTTAATTAGGATTTGAGTAAATCCCCGAACCTGTTGTCTCATCTAAGGAAATGGCGGATTTGTAGATACTTGAGAAATCATAAAGTTTCTATGCATGTACAGGATACCTATTGTCTATTTCAGGTTTCTTTAAACAATTGAGGTGTTTTATTTTTATTTTTATTTTTTATTTTTTTTTAGGCTTGGAAGCTGGTACTAGTTTGAAAAATCTGGAACTATGCAATTGTCGTACTGGGATTGCTTGTGTGGGAGATATAAGGGGAAAGACCTACAATATGGCTAGGGGGATTACAGATGACTCACTTGGTTTCCTTGTCTGGACACTTAGCAGGATTGGAAGAGACCACGGGGTCATTTATACCATTCTCCTGCCTCTACTGAGGGCGGCCTCATAGCCACTCTTGGCACATGGCTTTCTATCTGATCTGAGAGTCCTCCAGAAAAACGGATCTTTCTCTGTAAGCTAGTCCAACAACTTCCATCACCAGAAAGTTCTGTCTTGTACCTCACCTAAGTCCCTCCTGCTTCAGTCCAAGTCCATGTGGGCTTGACGTCATCTGTGGACAGGGACACATTTGTCCCCATCTTGCTCAGGTAGTCCTCATCCCTGCAGGCTGGTGATCATATCCTTTTGCTCTTCGCCACTGTGGGGCCATGTCTGAGGCCCCGGTTAGGGTGTGGTTTCCTCCAGGTCCTCCTGAAGTCTGCATTCCCCTTAATCAGAGGCTGAACTTTGTAGGGACATGGGAGGGGTGGGAGGAGGAAGGTCTTATTGTACGCTGCATGACAGAGGGAGGTAGGGGATTTCACCAGGGAGTGGGAGCACGGACTCTGTGGGCACTTCTGGAATATTCTGTGTGTAGGCATAGGGTGTAGTCATTTCTCAGAGGGTCACACAGCTGTGTCTAATGGTGGGTCTCCTGGCTCTGCTCACCACAATTCCACTGGTCACTCATCTTCCATCACTCTGAGGGACTATAAGGTTGCACAGGTCTGGGACAAGTGAGGGGGGAGACCTTAAAACAACAAAAATGTTCCACTGGATTCTGGAAAACTCACTGGATTCTGATGAATGAAGTGTTTGCAGCCTCCAGAGGCCTCAGGGTGCTGGCTGTTGCATCTTAGAAGTCCTGATGACAAACCTAAAGGTGGGGCTGTGACTTCCGTGGGTAACAGGTCATGTGAAGAGGGCAGGTGGCCACAGGCATGTGCGTGCTCTGGCCTGTGTCTCTCCACACGGACTAGTCCTTATCATGTCAGAGAAGGCAGAGAGCTGCATAGCTCTT